GGGGTGGGGGGTGGGAGGTTGGGGGATCCAGGTGGTGGGTATTGGAGAGGGCATGGATTGCATGGAGCACTGGGTGTGGTGCAAAAATAATGAATACAGTTGCACTTCTTTACACCAACAACACGACAGAAGAAAGAGAAATTAAGGAGTCAATCCCATTGACAATTGCACCTAAAACCATAAGATACCTAGGAATAAACCTAACCAAAGACGCAAAGAATCTATACTTAGAAAACTATAAAGTACTCACGAAAGAAACTGAGGAAGACACAAAGAAATGGAAAAATGTTCCATGTTCCTGGGTGGGAAGAACAAATATTGTGAAAATGTCTATGCTACCTAAAGCAATCTACTTATTTAATGCAATCCCTAACAAAATCCCATCCATTTTTTTCAAAGAAATGGAACAAATAATCCTAAAATGTATATGGAGTCAGAAAAGACCTCGAATAGCCAAAGGAATATTGAAAAAGAAAGCCAAAGTTGGTAGAATCACAATTCTGGACTTCAAGCTCTATTACAAAGCTGTCGTCATCAAGACAGTATAGTACTGGCACAAAAACAGACACATAGATCAATGGAACAGAACAGAGAGCCCAGAAATAGACCCTCAACTCTATGGTCAACTAATCTTCGACAAAGCAGGAAAGAATGTCCAATGGAAAAAAAGACAGTCTCTTCAACAAATAGTGTTGGGAAAATTGGACAGCCACATGCAGAAAAATGAAACTGGACCATTTCCTTACACCACACACGGAAATAGACTCCAAAGGGATGAAAGACCTTAATGTGAGAGAGGAATCCATCAAAATCCTTGAGGAGAACACAGGCAGCAACCTCTTCGACCTAAGCCGCAGCAACTTCTTCCTAGGAACATCACCAAAGGCAAGGCAAGCAAGGGCACAAATGAACTATTGGGATTTTATCAAGTTCAAAAGCTCTTGCACAGCAAAGGAAACAGTTAACAAAACCAAAAGACAACTGACAGAATGGGAGAAGGTATTTGCAAACGACTTATCAGATAAAGGGCTAGTATCCAAAATCTATAAAGAGCTTAGTGAACTCAACACCCAAAGAACAAATAATCCAATCAAGAAATGGGCAGAAGACATGAACAGACATTTCTGCAAAGAAGACATCTAGATGGCCGACAGACACATGAAAAAGTACTCCACATCACTCGGCATCAGGAAAATACAAATCAAAACCACAATGAGATACCAACTCACACCAGTCAGAATGGCTAAAATTAACAAGTCAGGGAATGACAGATGCTGGCGAGGATGCGGAGAAAGGGGTACCCTCCTCCACTGTTGGTGGGAATGCAAGCTGGAGCAACCACTCTGGTAACAGCATGGAGGTTCCTCAAAATGTTGAAAACAGAGCTACCCTATGACCCAGCAATTGCACTACTGGTTATTTACCCTAAAGATACAAACATAGTGATCCAAAGGGGCACGTGCACCCAAATGTTTATAGCAGCAATGTCCACAATAGCCACACTATGAAAAGAACCTAGATGCCATCAACAGATGAATGGATAAAGAAGAAGTGGTATATATATACAATGGAATACTATGCAGCCATCAAAATAAATGAAATCTTGCCATTTGCAACGACGTGGAAGGAACTAGAGGGTATTATGCTTAGCGAAATAAATCATTGTAGAAAGACAACTATCATATGATCTCCCTGATATGAGGAAGTAGAGATGCAACGTGGGGGGTTTGGGGGGTAGAAGAATAAATGAAACAAGATGGGATCGGGAGGGAGACAAACTATAAGAGACTCTTAATCTCAGAAAACAAACTGAGGCTTGCTGGGGGAGGGGGTCGGGAGAGGATGGTCGGGTTATGGACATTGGGGAGGCTATGTGCTATGGTGAGTGCTGTGAAGTGCGTAAACCTGGTGACTCACAGACCTGTACCCCTGGGGCTAATAATACATTATATGTTTATTAAAAATTAAAAAAAAAACACACACACACAAGTTAGGTCATATCATTATCTTCCTTAAAACCCTCCTAGTGTCTTTCCAGCTCACTCAGATTGAAAGTCCAAGTCCTCCAAATGATTCACATAGGAAATGGCATTTATGTATTGTCATATGTCTTCTTATCCCCATTTTTTCCTTACTGAATTATTTCCTTTTCATTCAAGTGTTTATTTAAATTCCACGTAGCTAATGTACAATGTAATATTAATTTCAGATGTAAAATTTAGTGATTCAACACTTACATTAAACATCCTGGGCTCATCACAACAAGTGCCCTACTTAATTCCCATTACCTATTTAACCCATCCCTCCTACCAACCTCCCCCAGGTAATAATCAGTTTGTTCTATACAGTTAAGAGTTCATTTCTTGTATCAACTTTTATATCCACATGGACGGGAATGGGGGAGATTATGCTGAGTGAAATAAGTCGAGCAGAGAAAGTCAATTATCATATGGTTTTACTTACTTGTGGAGCATAAGGAATAACGCGGAGGACATTGGGAGATGGAGAAGAGAAGTGAGTTGGGGGAAATTGGAGGGGAAGACGAACCATGAGAGACTGTGGAGTCTGAGAAACAAACTGAGGGTTTTGGAGGAGAGGGGATGGGGGTCTGGGTCAACCTGGTGGTGGGTATTAAGGAGGGCATGTATTGCATGGAGCACTGGGTGTGGTGCATAAACGATGAATTTTGGAACACTGAAAAAAAATAATTAAAAAAAAGTCCATTTCTTGGTTTGCCTCTTCTTGTTCTCCCTGTGTATGTTTCTTAACTTCCACATAGGTGTGAAATAATATGGTATTTGTCTTTCTCACTGACTTATTTCAGTTAGTATAATACTGTCTAGCTCCATCCATGTCACTGCAAATGGCAAGATTCCATTCATTACGGCTGAAGAATAATCCATTATATATAAATATGCATGTGTATATGTGTGTGTGTGTGTGTGTGTGTGTGTGTGTGTGTGTATGCGCACACACACACGTACATACACCACACCTTCTTTTGTCATTTATTAGTTGGTAGACACTTGGCTCTTTCCATAATTTGGTTATTGTTGATGATGCTAATATAAACATTGGGGTGCAAGTATCCCATCAAATTACTGTGTTTGTATACTTTGGGTAAATACCTAGTAGTGCAATTGCTGGATCATAGGGTAGCTCTATTTTTAACTTTTTGAGGAACCTCCATACTGTTTGCCACAGTGGCTGCACAAGTTTGCAATTCCCACCAACATTGCAAGAGGGTTCCCCTTACCTTGCATCCTCACTGACATATTGTTTCCAGGGCTGTTATTTAGCCATTTTGACAGGTGTGAGGTGGTATCTCATTATAGTTTCAATTTATATTTCCCTGATGATGTGTGATGTTGAGCATCTTTTCATGTGTCTGTCCTCCATTTGTATGTCTACTTTAGAAAAATATTTACTTATGTCTTCCAATGATTTTTTAACTGTATTATTTGGTTATAAGATGTTGAGTTTGATAAATTCTTTATAGATTTTGAATACTAACCCTTTATCAGGTACATCACTTGCAAATACCTTCTCTCACTTTTCTCACCCCACAGGTTTCTTTTTAGTTTTGTTGTTTCCTCTGTTGCACAAAAGCTTTTTATCTTGATGAATTCCCAACAGTTCACTTTTGTTTTTGTTTCTCTTGCCTAAGGAGACATCTCTAGTAAGAAGTAGCTATGGCCGATGTCAAAGAGGTTATGTGTTGTCCTTTAGGGTTTTAATGGTTTCCTGCCTGACATTTAGGTCTTTAATCCATTTTGAATTTATTTTTCTGTATGGTAAAAGAAAGTGGTCCAGTTTCATTCTATTGCATGTTGCTGTCCAGTTTTCCCAACAGCTTTTGTTGAAGAGACTTTTTTCCATTGGATATTTTATCTTGCTTCACTGAAGATTAATTGACCATATAGCTGTGGATCCACTTCTGGGTTTTCTATTCTGTTCTATTGATCAATGTGTCTTTTTTTGTGCCAGTACCATACTGTCTTGAGGTGGTAACCTTTTCTGATTCATAAGAAGGAATCAGAAATTGAGAAAAATACAATAATTTATATTTCTCAAATTATACTCAAAATACAACCTGAATTTAGTAGGTAAAGTAATATGATAATTACTAACAATTGTGACAGCAGTAATAATATTAGTTTTGATTTGAAAATATTTTCAAATTTATTCAATCAATTTAGAATCAATTTCAATATAAATGCATACACTTCATATGTCTAAGAGCCATAGATTAACAACCCTAAGTGGATTATAATGGTCAATTCTATTCTTCAGTTAACTCAGGTTTAAAAATCTCTGCCCAAAATAGTAGATAGTATTTCCCCAGGATTGGCATCTTATCCTCTGAAGTTTGGCTCACATGCAAAGCAGGACTAGAGAGGAAGGGGAGCACTGGCCAAGTCATTTACCTTCTAAACAAATCTACGGTAATAAGAGCAAATCACTCAATAAATATTGAGCTGAGCATTTGAATTCATAAATTGCTCTCTTTAGCACTTTCAAACTAATCAATTACTATATTTAGCAAGAGATAACAGGAGTATAAGTTAAATCCAAACACAAAAAATAAACCTAATGTTAAAAACAATAGAATTTTTGTTTTCATCTCTTAACTGGTTCCCTGACTGCATCTGTATTCTCCTAATATATGGATATGTCAGAAAAAGAAACTCCCACGTAACAAATAATAATTTTCAGTTTTTTCTGTCCTTTCCTCTCCCAAATTCATTCATCCAGGGCTATTTTCACTTGCTTGCTTGTAAATCCTACAAAAAGTCTAGTCAATTTATCCATTGCCATCTCCATCTGAGCTTCCAACAGTCAGAAAAACAGAAAAGTTCAAAGCATTTGGAAAAGCGGTAAGGTTCTAAAGTATGCCAGTGAGATATTTTGTTGAAAAAATCTACTTCCTAAAAGTCAACAGGTTAAAATTCACAGAAGGAGGCAAGGATCTTTGGAAAATGAAAAATCTTTTCATCACTTTAATCAGCAGATTTAAAATGCTCTTCATCCACAGTGGGGTAGATGTAGCCCTCAATGGTCAGATACTCAAGAGCTTGCTTGAAGGCCCTGCCGCTCAGGCTGTAAAGCTGGGTCTGGAGCTCATGTACACTTTTGCCTTCCCGTTGAGGACATTCACGGATCAAACGCAGAACTTCCTTGTGGATGAAGTCAAGGCGGTAGTACTCGCCATACTTCTGGACCTCATTTATTTTTGATGGCGCACTAGGTCCAGAGGCCACTTGGTGGGCTTTATCCAGCATCATATGTGCATTGACTGTTTCCAGAATATGTGTGGTGAACTCATTCATGTCCTCTAGGACTCGGATATTCAATACCTCGAGGCCCTTTACTTCTTTAAAACATGTGAGGATACCGATCACTTTGACATACACTTCCACTGGAAGAAGCGATGTGCCCTGTTTTGCTTTATTTCTTCCGAGCCACTGGCGGACCTCAATAGGCTTGGTGATCATATCATCAATTCTGTAAAGAATGTAGTTGGAAGCTCTCTGGCCTTCTGATTATCCCCACAATAGAGACCTGGGAAACTTCAATTCCCCTTATCTTGAAGACACTGTCAACCAGGATGGAGGTGGAGCAGCTGGGCTTACACGACAAGGTATAATACACTGAATTCGGACCCTGGATCTTGGGGTCTTAGTAGCAGGAGCTTCACCACCCTGAGATGGCTGGTCATTGCTTCCAAAAGTTTCACCCACAGCAGAGATGCTGCCATAGCTCACAAAACCGTTCTTATTCATCTTAAGAAGAGCTCAGAGAGATTAGGAGGTAGGTTTTCGCTGTAGTCAGTGAGTTCCTCAGGAGGGCTCTGACCGCTTCAGACAGCTACCACCAGAAGTTCGATGTGTGGTGACGCAAGCAGCCTCGCGCGACCTATGGAGCCAACCAGCTACCAAAATGCTGCTCTCTCCAGCTAATGAGGACCTACCAGCTTCTCACCAGGTCCCATAATTCTTTGGAGTTGTATGGTAGTTGCTGGCCTATATTTTAAAGGCCCCATGTATTATTTCAAGCTTTTCTTGCCATCTGTATAAAATGCATTTTTATTAGGTACCCCTCCCCTTCATTCCTAACTGCCACAACTTCTTCGATAGTCACTTCTTAAATATTCATTTATTCACCCACATAATTTTCAGAGCACTAAGTGCACTATGGTAAAGAGCTATAGGTTTATATGGCAGAGGTAGCAGGGGTGCGGGGCAGGGCACAAAAATGGTTATGGTTCTCAAAGAATTCACATTCATTAAATCATTTGTTCAATCATTAAAACCAGAAGCATTCTAGATGGTCATCATATTCAAAAGTAAATCACATCTTACCTCTGCCTTTTTAAGGTTTTTTTTTTTATTATTATAGAACTATAATTTTCCAGTTATTCTGACAAATACACTATCGGTAAAAAGAAATAGTTGATATATTTTAATTCCTACATCAATTCAAATGAGTTCTAAATTATTTTCAAGACTCTACCAATAGGTCGGAGAAATACAAAATGTGGTCTCCATTAGATATTAGGAAAAACATGAATAAAATCAAAATACCATTTCTGTACACTTTTATGCAGTAATTTGTGAACTTAAGACTGTAGCAATTTATATGAATATCTCCCAGAATATTTTCATATTACATTGAAAAGCCATTTTTCCTCATAAAACATTTTATTGGGGTTATAATTAACTTAAAGGTTTTTTTATGATTAATAAAGAATATCAGTTATTGGAATCAACCACTGGCAAAGAACTTCATTAAAAATACTTTGTAGTTAGGGACGCCTGGGTGGCTCAGTTGGTTAAGCAGCTGCCTTCCGCTCAGGTCATGATCCCAGTGTCCTGGGATCGAGTCCCGCATCGGGCTCCTAGCTTGGCAGGAAGCCTGCTTCTCCCTCTGCCTCTGCCTCTGCCTGCCGCTCTGTCTGCCTGTGCTCGCTCGCACTGTCTCTCTCTCTCTCTCTGACAAATAAATAAATAAAATCTTAAAAAAAAATCCTTTGTAGTTAGAAAATAACCTAAACTTGTAGAGCTTTGAGTTTATTAATACTTTCTCTCATTTCTTTTACTGGTTAAAATAATTTAACTTTGGTATGCCAAATTACAAAAATATGTGAATAGTATATCTAAAACTTATAGAAAGAAAACTGTATTTATTTCTCAGCCAGAAATTAATAATACCAGAGCCAATATACTTAATTTGTTTTACAAATAAATATAATAATTGTTACCTTTGCACACAAACTGCCAAGTAAATGTGGATATTTAACTTCTGGATCCATGTTTTATATAATAAAAGAGGAATTAAACATCTAAGTAATATCTGTATTCCTAAAATTGCACAGTATTAAGATATCAGAATAACTATATTTTATCAAATGTTTACAACCTAATAATCAGACATTGCTGTTTTATTAGCTGACATCAGATTGTTCAGAAAACCTTGAGGTTAAAATGATGTAACTGATTGTATTCATAACAACTACATTCAGTACAAATTGCATGAATTATACCAAAATGGTAAGAACCACCCCACCTACCTCACAGGATTGCTGGTTAAAGAAACCCTCAGAGATTCAAGGCAGTTAAGAAGTTTCTCATCTGAAATACCAGATCGTAATTCATGAACATATTCTTGTGAAGACAAGGTACATTCATGTTTGCTGTTCTTCAACCCTCCCTATAAAAAAAAAAAGAAATCACATTTTAGAAAAACAACAGGTTTTGAAATAACTTTTAAAATAATGCATAGACTATGCAAGTATTTTATTATAGAAAAATATGTGCAGAGTGCTATGCACTTAAAAATTCTTGGTCATAGAAATGACGAGGTAAAATCAAGTTATATACATATCTCAACACTCCCCTCATCCTCATTTAAAAAGAAATTATACTGCTGGTACTCATAGTCTGAAAAGACTATGGACTTGAGATTAAGTGTCACTGACAGGGATGCTTAAATTTACAATCCAGGCACTAGCATTAACCCACAGAATGAACATTTACAAATCATCTTATTAAATTTCCTAGTTAATATGCTTATGTTCTATACCATAAAACACAAGTGAACAAAATTTAATATAAAACATTACAGATAACCAAAAACTACTGAAATGTATCAGAGAATTAGCCTACCTCAAGAAACAAGTGAAAACAGTTATTAAAATGTAAAACAGTAGTCTCCATTTAGCATATTAATCATATTAGTCTAAAGTATTCACTAATTCCCAACTATTCCTTCCTATAATACTCCCATGTTGTATATTAATTTTTAAAAGTCATTAAATGCATTTATCTGATAATGACTAGTTTTTGCTTAATTTCCAATATACATGGGGTTATTTCTAGAACTCATTATCTCATCACAGCTCCTTAGCTTCATCACCTTGCCATAATAACTATATAAGTAGTTTGGGGAAAAGACTGAGAGGAAAACATCATTAACACATTCATTGCAATAATAACTCACTTTCACATTCTAGATATACAGAATCATATACATAATCATTCTAGATATATATTACAAATGTATTCCCCTGAATTAAAATTCTAGTTTGAGTCACATATTTCAAGTTTGTACTGATCACACTCAATTTTCTTTAAGTACCTAAGCTAGAATAAGGAAAGTGGTTTGGTTTGGTTTTTTTCCCTAATTTGGTAGAAGCTATATCATTTGAGGATATAGAATTTTAAAAATAATGTGTTAACAATAAGAAATGGATTCCACAGGGTTTCAGGGTGTTTGGCTTTTATCAAGAATGCCTCAATGCAGAAATTGACATTCTTAATGTCTGAATTTTTTTTAATTCCACTGAATAGTAAGTAAATGTTTGAAGTCTGATAAAGTCTTTTTTTAAGGTTTTATTTATTTATTTGAGAGACAGAGAGAGACAACATGAGCAGGGGGAAGGGCAGAGGAGAAGTAGACCGCCTGTTGAGAAAGGAGTCATACATGGGGCTCGATCCCAAAACCCTGGGATCATAACCTGAACCAAAGGCAGATGCTTAACCAACTGAGCCACCCAAGCACCAATGAAGTCTGGTACAGTCTTGCAGGGACCTGTATTCCCTTCTGGTGCTATAGCACTATCACTATTATAAAACTTAAGACACTGAGGCAAAGGTCATTATTTATGTCTATCACTCTTCTAGACTCAGAACTCTATGCGAGATATCTAACCCAGTGATTCGGTTTAGTGAGCCTCAAAGGAAGTGTGCTATTATTGTATCCGGCCAATAACAATTACAGATCAAGGAATACAGTTTCATAGTTTTAGATCACATATTTTGTATAATTCACACTAACTTGATTTTTTTATTTGTTAGGATATACAGATGTTTAAGACTTCTGCTGAATAAATCACGACATAGATGGCAAAGTAAAAATATCACCATGAAATCTTTTCCACATTTGTTTTTTCTTTTTTTTTTTTAGATTTTATTTATTTATTTGAGAGAGAGATAGGGCACAGGGGGAGGATGAGAGGAAGAAGCAGGCTCCCCACTGAGCAGGGAGCCTGATGTGAGGCTTGATCCCAGGACCCTGAGATCATTACCTGAGCCAAAGGCAGACGCTTAACTGAGCCACCCAGTCAGTGCCCCATTTCTTTAACTTATTTACCCAACACTTAGGGCTGTAGAACCACAAAGAATGATAGCAAGTAAACATTTATAATATAAAATGTTTCAAGTCTGCAGTCACAAACCACTTTCATATGACCCTCAAACCCATTTTCATAATTAATGGATAATGAGGCCCTACCAATCCTTCCCTGGAGGCTTGTACATGAGTTTATTACTGTAGAATGACCTTTGTATTTGCTGTTTTCTCTGCCTGGAGGATTCTTACTCCTAATATCTCCATCCCTAATTCATCATCTAAGTCTCAACCCAATAGTCCTCTCACCACCACATTCATCATCACATCATTTTATATCTCATTCATAGTATTAGCTCAGTGTAACCTTACATCATTCAGTACTCTACTTGTTTACTGTGTCTTCACTATAAAAACATAAACTCTATGAGGCAGGAACCTTGCCAACACTGTTCACCATTTTGTCCCCAGATCTTAACACAATGCTTGGCACACGGTAAGTACTCAAAAATATATATATATGTATGTATTTTTTAAGTAGTCTCCATGTTGGGCACTTTAACATGGGACTTGAACTCACAACCCTGAGATCAACACCTCAGCTTAACCAACTAAACCACCCAGGAGCCCCTCAAAACATCTTTCTTTAATTCGTGGATGGATGTATGGATGGTGAGTAAACAAATGGGTGAATGTCTGATGAGTTCAACAAGCAGAAATTTCAAAACTTAGTTTAGATTTGCTTCACAATATTACAGTTCTGAGATGTTCCATTACCATATATTCAGAAATGCTAGTGTAGAATAGGTAAACTGAGACCGTGTACGGCATCCTAGGAAGAGCTCAAACTGTCACTGGGCTTAATTGTGACACCTTCACTTATCTAGGTAATCTCTGAGCAGACTATTCAACTAATCTCTATAAACCTGTTTACTAATTCCTGATATCGGGTAGTAGACACTTACCCCTCATGTTTATTTTAAGGATTAAGTGAGACGATGCATATAAAGTGGTCAAAACAGGCATTTTGTATATGTTGTCTCATAGACAAAGTAAGCTGCTTAGAAATGTTTGTTCCCTTCTTCTATATGGTCATGGCGGAGGTATTTGTGCCTCATGGAAAAACTGGGACAGCCTAATACCTTAGGACACCCTCCTCCCCCAACCCTTAGAAACAGGTTTAAATTTAAATTATGTAATTTAAGATACTCTGTGCTTAGAAGGACTGAAAGGAACCTAATGGAGCAATACAAGAAATACATAACCTTATAAAACAAATACCTTTTATCAAGCTTTCACGGGTTTTAACATAAGTTCATACTTGAAGATCAAAAAAACATAATAGCATATAAAAGATGAGCTGACCATTAAATATCAGCTCATCTAATAATATCATTACAAAAATAGAAAATCATGCTGACTGTCCATGGTCACCTAATTAGTGAAGTTGCAAGAATAAAACACGAATATTCTGGTCCTCAGGTTACTTCTTTTTCCACCATATGTCACTTTCTCTCAATACTGAATAAAAAATCAGAGCACCAACTACTTAATTATGAAATCTGTACTACAAATGCCAAAGTATCTTCAGCACAATCAATATAATGCAGTATGTTAAAGAAATCACAAAGAAACAAAACAGTGCAATAGATTAAACTAATTCTCACTATACTTAATAGAACTGTAATACAAGAATGACTTATCATTAACATCCTGTTCTGATACTGAACAAAGGAAACAAGTAGATAATGGAAATTTTAATTAGCTGCTCTGTATGAGATTAATGAAAATTACCACTGTGCCCATTTGATCTCTAAAAAATAATGCATACAAAGTTAGCAATTACCATGTATCATGCCATTCCAAAGCTAGGTTAACAAATAGTTTTCCTAATTTGAAGGCATTCCTTAAATTGGAAATCATTAGGATAGAGATAAATGTCACTGTGACTGTACTTATGTTACTCTAAAACAATACACAAAAAACCAAAAGATACTTTGGGCCAGTTTAATAATTACATTCCCTTAACTCTGACATGAAATGCTAATATCAAAATCAATGATATTCTAAAAAGAACACTTTAGGATTACATTGGAGATACTTTTTTTAAAAGGTTTTATTTATTTATTTGACAGACAGAGATCACAAGTAGGCAGAGAGGGAGGCAGAGATAGAGGTGGAAGCAAGCTCCCTGCGGAGCAGAGAGTCCGACACGGGGCTCAATCCCAGGACCCTAGGATCACAACTCCAGCCGAAGGCAGAGGCCTTAACCCACTTAGCCACCCAGGTGCCCCGGAGATACTACTTCTAATATTACTATTTATTTATTTTTATTTTAATTCCAATTAGAAAACATACAGTGTCGTATTACTTTCAGATGTACAACAGGGTAATTCACCACAACACAATACCTAGGGCTCAACATAGTGCATTCCTTAATCCCCACCAGCTATGTAATTCATCCATCCCGCCTACCTCCCCTCTAGCAACCATCTTTCTTCTCCATGATTAAAAGTCCATTTCTTGGGGTACCTGGGTGGTTCAGTGGGTTAAAGCCTCTGCCTTTGACTCAGGTCATGATCCCAGGGTCCTGGGATCGAGCCCTGCGTAGGGCTCTCTGCTCAGCGGGGAGCCTGCTTCCCTTCCTCTCTCTCTCTGCCTGCCTCTCTGCCTACTTGTGATCTCTGTCTGTCAAATAAATAAATAAAATCTTTAAAAAAAAAAAAAGTCCATTTCTTGATTTGTATCTGTGTCTCTCTCATTTTTTCCCTATTACTTCTGTGTTTTGTTTCTTAAATTCCACAAGTGAAATTATATGGTATTTGTCCTTCTCTGATGAACTTTTTTCACTTATAATACAATTCCAAGAGTCACTGTTTATGCACCACACCCAGTGCTCCATGCAATATGTACCCTCCTTAATACCCATCACCAGGCTAACCTATGCCACAGCCCCCTCTAAAACCCTCAGTTTGTTTCTCAGAGTCCATAGTCTTTCATGGTCCATCTCCCCCTCCGACTCCCCCCACTTCATTTTCCCTTCCTTCTCCTAATGTCCTCCATGCTATTCCTTACGTTCCACA